CATCCCCTTTCCCTTGTGGACAATCTTGTAGCATAAGAACATGCATACAGCCACCAGGAACACTCCCTCCATCCTAGCTTCTCCACATCCATCCAACTATTCATCCACTCATCCAGCTTCTTCCATCCATCTAGGCAGGAACCTACCCACCATCCTGTCCAGAATCCACTAGGTCATTCAGTTCTGGATCCATCATGGATACATGATGATGGATTCAAGATGGATAATGGATGAAGATGAATGATGATGAGGACAGATGGTGAATGATGATGATGGGGGTTGATGAAGATGATGGTGGATGATGGCAGGTGTTGGTCAATGGGTTGGTGGAAGGGGCGATGTTTGACTGGATGGTGCTGCGGTCAGTGGATGCTCAGTGGTGGGTGGGGATGTCATCAAGATGGGATCCCACTATCCCCTCATGTCTTGATCAATCCAGCCCTCCATCCCTCTCATTTTCCCCCTCACCTGTGGTGATGTCAATGGAGACGCGGTCGATCCTCTTCCCGCCCCGCAGGCCGTAGAGGTGGAAGCGGTACCGGTGGGACGGGGACAGTCCCGGCACCGTCACTGAGTGGAACTCGCCATCGATGGGCAGGGCCTGGGGCTGGCCCTGGGCATCCCGGTACTGCAGCGTGAAGGAGTCAAAGGGGCCCTCGGGGATGCTCCATTGCAGCCCCACGGAGCTGGGGGTGACGCTGGAGACCCTCAGTTTTCCCAGCACCGCCCGTGCTGGGAGGGCCTCAGATGGGGGAGGCTCAGTTTGAGGGTGCTCAGGTGTTGGCTCCTCTGGGGGTGGTGGTGGCTTCTCTTGCTCCACTGTGGCTGTGACAGAGGGGGTGGTGATGGTGATGGCCATCTGCTTGTCCATCCCATGTCCATCCCACCATCCATCCATCCAATCATGTTTCTTTCCATGCATTCTTTCATTCAACTGGTTTTTTAATGTCTCCCTGCACTGGATTATCAAACCACCACCGAGTTGCTCCAACACACATCATCAATCCATCATCCATCCAGCATCCATTATTTTCCTTCTGTCAATCCTTGAATCCATTCCACCATCACTCCTCACTCCCTGCCCCAACCCACACCCCCACACTGAACCTCTCCCTCACTCAGGGCACAAGCCAACCATGGGCTCAGCCTCACATGTGCCTGTCCAACCACGTGACCATCTGTCATCCATCCATCCAAAACACCCAGGAGACCCCCATCCGTCCATTCATCTATCACCCATCACCATCCATACCTCATCCATCATCCATCCCTCCATCAGTCCATCCATCCAACCCATCATCCATTCAACACCCAAGCCAACTCCCCACTCATTCCCACATCCATCTCCCCGGGTCTTTCTACCACAAATCCCCGCAGGCCTCCACCCCTACCATCCCCCATTTTCCACAGAAAATTTTCCATCCAAGAGGACATGCATCAGGCCACCAGGAACCCTCCGTCCATCCCAGCTGCCCCACATCCATCCAACCACTCATCCATCCATCCACCTTCTTCCATCCATCTGGGCAGGAACCCACCCACCATCCAGTCTGGAATCCATT